CAGAGTTGAAATTTTCATGGCAAGGCAAAAACTTTCTCAGTAGTATTTTGCAAAGGTCTTGGAAAACTCTAAGTACTACTGACTGGGCTAAATGATAATGGATTTCTGTGTTCTATTACTTCTCCTTACACTCTGTTATCTGTGAGCCTACCCTAGAAAAGAAATGAATTTAGAAAGGCAGTCTGACCTGTGAACCATGTAACTGATAACATTAAAATTTAGCAGTCAGTGGGTGTGGGCTACAAAAGAGATATGTCTGTGATTAGCAAGAGTTTGTTAGGATGAATCAAGATTTACTTGTGAACAAGAGCTTACAAAGAAATCCAGTTTCAAAATCCCATATTAGTATCCTTGTTAGGAAGGTAAAAGCAAGACACATACTGTCATACTGGATCTAGAAGGTCTAAATTGCATTTTGACTCACAGATCAAAACCCTTTGTAATAGACAACTGACTTGAGCAGGGGATTATGCACAACTGCTCTTTGTGACTGTTTAGGGAAAAAAAAAAAAAAAAAAAAGCTTGCTTAGATTACAGTAATTCAAACTGTAGTTCTCAAAGTCCTTAAAATTCCATTTACCAAAGACAGCATTTTCAGGATGTGAGCAGAGGAAGCTGCCCATTGAGACATTAAAGGAAGGGCATGATATCTAAGGCACTGAACATCACCTGCAAAATGCTGAGTACTGGAAATCAACAAAGAGACCTCAGTCAAACTGGAAAATGTCCAGCCTCTCCTTGGGTTGGATTTTAACAAAATGTTCAAAGGAACTTTTTTGATGCAACCATATAATCTCAATTATAATTGTTCATGTAATTGTTCATCAAGTCGTGTGATTTTTTTTTTTCCTCCAATCTCATCTGCTCTGGCTTTCTCAACTAGAAGCAAACTCCCTACAAAACAGACTTTCAAGTCCAAAACCATTGCAATGACTTGTGACCTAATAACTGGGTTTGGAGACTACAGCATCTTCATTTCACTGTGTTCTCAAGATCAGGCAGAACAACAACCACGAAAGCATGCGGGAGTGCCACATCAAAGAACAGCACCCAAATCAGCCCTTATGTAAACATTTTTATCCTCACTTAGTTACTGAAGCATTCTTTCCTGCATATTCTAAAGTAAAAGAAAGGAAGACAAAGCATCTGTGTTTTAACATAACTGAGGACTTGCTTTTTACTTGTGGAAGCTCTCTTCTTGCTAAGTTGAACCTTGCCTTTGCCCCACATCTCACAGTAAGATCACTTACTCAGACTTGTTCTTCTAAAGATGGAAGGAGTTCTGCTCTGTTCAACAAATACTCATGTCCTTCACGCAGATCATTTGCTCCTGTATTACCAGAGCAATTTAAACTTTAAACCACAGCTGGCAGCAAAGTCTAAAACATGCCGAAAGAACAACAGAACGTTTGGCAAAACTTAGCTGTCCCTTTTTTGTTTGCGGTGCAGTCAAATGCTTTTTAAATTGGATCCTTCTGCAACCACAGAAATGTCCAGCACTGGAGCTGGCTACTATTTTAGACATACGGTATCATATTTGCCAGTTGATTTAGTCTTTGTGTTTGTAATAGAATTATCATTCTAATTAGAATAATTAGAATTATTTACTTCTCATATTTTAGCTATATTCACTTCACCTTCACTGGAGATCTGCAGAACTATAGCAGTTTCTGTGAAAAGCAAGTTAGTACCGTGCCACTATAAGATAAAGCCATCAATCTCTCATTTTTATAGCCACAAGAAGGTCTATTCTTGCAACACATAAAATGATCAAAATGTGCCAAAAGCACAGAGTTTACGCTGCCATTTCTATCATTAATAAAGTGACTTTTCTCTTACATGAGTTTCAAACCTCACTCCCTGCTACTCTTCCCTCATCCAGCAACAGAAATAATGGTGGCAGTCCAGAAATTAATTCTGTACATTCTAGATTAGTTAATTCTAGAGCATGTCCTAGTTCTGAGCTGGGTTGCTCCAACTATTAAGCCTACTGTGGGAATGGTAACTGAAAGTGGGCTGTAAAACTTTTCTCCTGCAAAATCAGCTCTTCATTTGGTGTAGTTTTGGAGCTATGGTAATTACATGCCAGCTCAGGAGACATCTCTGCAAGCGTGGTGTCTGAGCTGTACTATTCACAAGTAGGAAGAGCCCAGTGCTCTAAACTAAAATAGTCCAAAACAGGCTGTCTGCATGTCAATCTGCTCATCTGCAATAACTGTGTGCTACGTGGTCAAGTACATCCTTTTTACGTTCCTGGATATGCCCTCTACAACAAAAGGACTTTTCTACAGGAGATTCATGTGGGCCTCCATTATTTAGGGTTGAAATGTGGGTACAGTTTGCGATTATATTTGTGCAGATTTTACTTGTCTTTAAGTGAGGGAACAAATACAGTAACTACATCAAACACACACTGAAGAATCAGTGCAAAGTAGTTGTCTGATGGAGACTGAACTAGTCCTGACCTAGGAATCCCGGCTATACTTGAGAGAGTCATTGTTTAAGGCAAAGGACTGCTTAATAAGGCTTTGGTCTTTAACACAGATTGCATCACAGATTGACTGACTGAAGCTTTCTCTTTACAAGTTCACACACAACTCAAAATGTCATGTTGATTTTATACCTGCCTGGCCAAGTGAGATTACAGAGCAAGTCAATCACCTTGCCTTTCAGACAGATTTCCCCTTTTACATCTTGAAAATTCTACTCACTCACTTGTAGATTATGCAAAGAAAGAGGAAGCAGCATGACTCAGCTCCACACTACAATGGCTGGAGCAGATCCAGACCTAGCAATCCTTTGGGCTTTCCTTACCAAAATACAAGTCTGCAGCTTGGATAATGTAAAGCATGCAGTGTTTGCATAAGAAATGTTAGATGGCAGCATGCCAGCTACAGTCCTTAAGCATTGTGCTAGTTCTTTTCATTTACAGAACATTATCTTCTGCAGAGTTAGGATGAGAACAAAATAAAAACACAAAGGGGTCTGATCTTAAAGAGTGCCTATGTAAGACAAAACGCTGAAGAGGAACAGCCTTCTGAACCATATTCCCTAGACATCAATTTCTGTGGAAATCTAGTGGTAGACAACATTAATTTAGCGAGTTTCACATCATGCCATACTGGTGAATATTTCTGTATATTGTGTAAATTAGAGAAGGGAAAGCAGAGGTATAGAAAGCTATGGACTTTAAGAAAACCAGGAGCTTTGAGTAAGTTTAAAGAACCTTGAGTCCCAGTGCTTTGTCTAAACCACTGGAAAATACAGCTACTTCAAAAACTCAGTGTTATCTCAAAATCATTCCTGATCTTCTACCATTTTGCTAACACCTGATCCACAGCTGTTTTTTCATTAAGCGTGTCCACAATATGAGCTATTGCAGAGCATATAACGCACTGTAAACACACTTAAGTGCTCCGTATAAACAAGCTCTGAGCAAAATTCAGCAAGAACTTCAGTTGACTCCGTGAATACACAACAAAGTTAGATGATTTGATGGTTATCTCACAGCAATCTAACATCTGAGATAAAGGCCTCAAACCTAAACTGCTTTTTCAAAACAGTATTTTACATCCTAGTCCCATGTCCAAAAGCTCTGGGAAATGGCATGCATCTGTCTTTTCAAGCACTGCATCCACTGGTAGAAATTACGTATCGGTCACTGCTTTCACAGATGTGCATCAAAGTAGCAACGAAAGTACTAAGGAGGCATGATCCAAGCTATTTCTCTGGTATTACTTGCAAAAAGCAGCCCAGTGGACTGCGTACGTTGGAGGGTGATTGAGCAGTATCGGGAAACTTGCATCACATACTAACCAACCTCATGTTGCATTAGAGGATGAAAGGCCAGTAGGCTGCTGGGCGCTGTGGAAATTTCAAAAGATAGTTCATTTAGAAAACTTTATGCTTAGCTTCTCCTTATTCCCCCAGAAAAGTTCTGGGCATTGTCATATGATTGCACTACAAAACATGAAGTTATCCAAAGCCAGTTCATGAGAAGTGAGCGGAAACATCTCTTTTCATTCCAAAGGAAAAACAACTCCTATGCTGTTTTCCTAAGTGAGCTGAAAACTTGGAGAGAAACCTAAAGCTAAAAAAAGCAAAGAACTCAAGACGATTTGTATTCTGGACTGTGGTTTCTGTTGCCTTAGCTCAAGGGAAAATATGTTCATGGGAAAAAGGCCTGCCAGGAGCCAGATTTTTTTCAACTCTGACTTTTCTAGTTGGCATGGCTTTAAATCAGTCTGTTTCTATTAAAGATACTTCTTCATAACCAAAAATGTTCTTTATGGATTTTATGATAGCTGTTTACAATTGAAAGAACGAGTTGTGTCTCCCCAAAACACACACACACGGAAGTTACTGCTGCCATAGTAACTTCTTTGACTGGACAGGACTACTTCTGAAAAAGTGCTCTGTTAGAGTGGTGGCTATCAAAAATACACAGGGCACTGTATTGTTTTACAGTCAGCATGACAGCAGATCTGTTTATACTGTTATCTTATCATGGAACTCAGACTTAAGCATAAGCTATCTATAACTACATTATAATCACGTGAGAGGATAAGTGCAACCTAATGATAGTGCCAATCCTCTGAACAGTTTTATTTTCAGCCACTGGCAATTCAGAGAAGACTTCTCTGTAAGCGTCTTTGATAACAATGTGAAAACTGTAACACAATGTGATCATGCTGCCCAAACAGACCTTGCCAGACCCCTACAATTACGGCTATCATTAATCAAAGTGCTGTATCAACACAGTTTACCTAAAGGACACCAATCCCCATTATACACTTGAATTGTCTTCTCTATTAATTAGATTTCCTGAAGTTAAGAGTTAACAAAAATTTATAATACGGTCTTTTTTTTTTTTTTTTTTTTTTTTTTGAGACTACTCAGAACTTTATAGAATGATACAGTAAGCTTTCATGGAACATTAAAGTGAACTTCACCCCTTATTTAAAAACTGCAGCTAATGCTATAAAATGAAAATTGCTTACCTGTGATCAACAACTGTTACATTGGAAGCAGGAATTCCCAGAAGAGAACAACTCTGTTCCAGTTCTTTCTTACGAATCTCTCCTTGATTGTAGTAGTTTCCTGAAAATAACAAACAGCAACATCGTCTAGTTTAGTTTAGGTCACCTCAAAGCAATAAGTATGAGCATAACATTAAATAAAAGGGCATCATTTCAGGAACGGCATCATTGCGGAGGAGAAACTCCATAAATTTTCCTAAGTAAAACCCATCTCAATTCAGGCAAAAATGCTGAGGCAAACTTCTGCCAACCTTTACCACATGAGCTTGTTTGGCAAAGGCATCAGAAGCTGCCATGTTTAATCAGATCAGTTGTCCAAGGAGCCCAGTATCTTCCTTCTGGTAGTGGCCAAAGTCATGCTTCTGCTAAAGATATGGGAGATCTTCCAAAAAACTACTCTGGAATAATCTGCTTGGGCAACTGCTTCCAACCACCCGTTTGATTAGTAGTATTTTATTCCTTGAAACATCAAAATTTCTAGTTCTTCAATTTTATTTTAATTGGGGCTTTCTATTTTATTTTTGTACATGCCTAATCCTCTTCTAAGCATTGTTAATTTTTTAGCAATATTTAATAGCTCTTTTGATGAATTCCAAACACTAACTATACTTTGTGACAAAATAAGGAATCTTCTGACGGAGTATATATGGACTAACTGTTTACACATTATTTGAACTCAAGTCACCAGTATAGTACAAAAGAATTGAGCAAGATCTTTTCATAAACACGGGAGAAACGTCCTCTCTAGTGAGGTGACTGAAAGTTGTTATCACTGGCAAATTTCCAGGTTGTCTCTGTGAAAGGGGTTATTGGGCCTTAGTCCACTTTAAAGACATGTAAATTCACAAATCAGTAATAATTAACCTTCTCAGGAAGGGCCAAAGAGTCACTCCTCCTTCACCATTGGAAATGGTGCCATGAACTCCCTCCTGTACTCTTAACAGCACAGGCCTGTAGAGCCAAGTTGAACAGCAAGTCCAAAGTCCTTGAAAAAGAACTGTCCCAAGGTATGTTCTTTAAGTGACTAAAGTTTATAGTATATCCTGGACCACTTCTAATAAATGCATGTTGTCATGTAACACTAAGACACCACAACAGAAAATGGTGATGAAATTAAAAAGACTTTAGGAAAGGAATTCCATCATAAAATTCTGTTTTGAGACAAAGATTTTTCAGAAATCTGCATCATTCGCAGAGGAAATTCTGGCAGAAACTACAATCGCAAAGAACTTATAGAACCAAAAAAAAAAAGAAAAAAGACAGTAAACTTAATTGAGATAAAGCATTTTGGAAAAGTTACAACATAATAAATATCCTTGAACCAACAACTAGTAGGGAAACACTTAAAACACAGCCTCCTTTTTCTTTGAATTCTCCTCATCCTGCCCTCACATTACCTTCCTTTTTCTTTGTAGCAGCCATGCAAAGTCCATGCCAGAGCTGCAATGGCCCCTTCCAGAATGTTACCCCGTGCAAACCAATACTTTAAACCAATTCTAACTTTGAAGTAAAAAAAAAAAAAAGGAAATATACAGCAGAGTATTAACATATGATTCAAGTCTGTAGTCAGCTGTCTTGAATTACACTAGAACCTTTTTTTTTTATTGTTGTGGGCATGAGTCATCCAAATCTAGCATTTCTCTATAGCAGTGTTGCAGTCTGAGCACTCGCTAGCAAGCTTTGTATAATATGCAGAGGTGAAAACCAGAAAAACAAACAAACAAACAAAAACTCTTCTTGCAGACCGTGAGTGAATGATTTTAGGAAACTATTACGATGATTATCTGTGGGTTTGCTGAAGAACACATCAGCTTGGTCTGCAGCATGCGGCTTGGATCACAAGTTCCAGCTGAGCAGAGTTAAATTAAGTGTGCACCTTCCCTGGATAAATTATGAGTACTGCAGGGCTTATTTTAGACTGATTTCTTTCATGGACTTTCATGATACTAGTGTTTTAAGATAACATATCTTATGCTGCAATGCAGCGTAGTAACAGACTGCACAGGATATTTTACCCAAATGGTACCACTGTTCTCAAAATACCTAACTTTTCCTGAACTCAAAGGTTCCATGTTGCTAACAAGAAAAAATGGGGAGCTGTTGAGAGCAAAAACAGCTGAATAGCTGATGCTGCTGGACCTCATCCATGGAGCACTCACAATAGAGAGTCAGCTACTACAGAGAGCAAAGCACATTTATACGGAGTTATTAGTTCAATCAAAGATTACTCAGTGTGGAGAAGACTGTTTTCTTTCACAGGGCTGTAACTCTGATTCATTTCTAAGGCATTTTGATTGATATCTGAGAACTACATTACAACGGACCCTAAGTAATGATTGTGTTTCAGTGTCACAATTTACGGAGTCTTTGATCAACTCACTTGTCATCATCAATCATACAAACAATGACAGGATGAACCATCTGAATCACCCCAAAGACTATTAAGAGGCACAAGAAAAGCTGTTAGCTCAGTGAATGCATTTTCCTATATGGGCTGCTAGTTCCATTACGAAGGCATGCAAGACATGCAATAGAAGACAGTGTCAAACATACTTAATGTTTCATGTCACTGAATCGGGAGTGCTGTAAAGAACAATAAAAAAGAGAATGTGAATAAAATAAGCAGAAGCACAATACTTCTTCGGAAAGTTTTCTAATTGCAGCAGCATTTTAGTCCTGAAAACTGCAATAGCAAGGTTGCACATCAATAATCTCTTCGTTGCTCTGAAAAAGTCAAACAGGATCCATGGAGTTTTGTACCTCAGCAAAGACAACTGAAAGTTTGCTCTGCTCTGCACTAAATCTTGAATAGGAGGGATACAGTAAAGTCACTACACCATCAGAGTTCATCAATAGCTTAATCTTGGTCTTCTCACCGCGATAGTCTGTTACGACAGAAAGGTATGAGAACAAAGAACAAAAGTTGGCAGTGAACAAACTGGAGCTTTCCAAACTACAGAGGTCCCTTTTCCCAAATATAAGTTGCTGTCACTGTGGGATGGAAATGTTTGTAGCCTAAGATACACAACAAACATAAAATATCTTTAGCTTTCACCACAGACTTATGAATTCTAGTATGGCAGTATGTGTCTGAAAGATCTTTTAAGATGAGGTTGCTTCCTATACCCAAAAAACTGAAAAAGGTAATCATAATGAAATGCAGAACAGTAGCATTGCATCAGGCACAAAAGCACAACCTTGAATTCATCAGAAGAATAACTTAATAAGTATCAGTCGTGCATTAAAAAAAAAAATTAATCTTGGGTTTTAGTAGATTATGAGAACAAAAGACAACAGCGTCAAGCGCTGTGAAAGTCCCTTGTGATATTTGTCCTCTGAGAATCCTTCCATTCGATTCAGCCCCAGACAAGCCTCAGCGGGACCAACGATTCGACTCTTCAGTTACTGTGCTTCAAAAATAGACGTGAGATGACTAGAAGAGAGCCCAAAGGAAAGCAATGAGAATGACCAGAAGTTTAGAAAACACGATTTATGAGGAAGATTGAAAGGAATTGTTTTGTTTAGTCTAGAGAAGATAAGACAGGAGAGGCAGATAACAGCCTTAAAAAAATGTCAGAAGCTGCTATGGAGGGATACTCTGATTTCCATCTTCACGGTAGATCAAACAAATAAGCAAGCTTAAATCATTCCAAAGATTCAGGAGAAAAGTGATTTGAAGAAAAGCTAATGTAGCACTGAAACAGACCACACGGGCTGAAAAACCTCCCTGGAGGTCCTGGAGAACATTCATCTCCAGGAAATGAGGACACCACTGAGGCTGCCTTTGAGCCAACGGATGGACAGCATGACCTCTTCGGGGCTGTTCTTCTATGATTAGACTGACACGCAACTGGTATCTTTAGATGTGTTACTGGGACTGTATTGTTACGGTGCATTAAAACCAGATCATCTAAAGCAAGTCCTCTACAAGATGACAAAAATCACAAGATGCGAAGAGTAAAACAATGCATTTCTAAAAACTAATGATATTTCCATGCAATTTGAAAGTGTGTCAGTGCTGCAGCATAAGATTTGATTGTGGAACCATAGTGGTTTGGATACGCAAGGGGATTTTAACGCTTCTCAAGCTACTAAAACCCTGCAGGAAGCTGCATTTTGGCTGCAGCCACGTATGCATGGTCACACCATGGGGTGTCTGGATATGACAACGTGCCACAGCCCAGAACAATGCCCAAACCCCGAGACGAGAGGCACGGCAGGGCCTTTGCTGCACAGTTCTTCCCCAGGGAGGCCGGGAGGGTCAGCACGGCAATGACGTCTCGCGTGGGGGCACCACGCTGACGTCACAGCCCTTACAGCCCCGCGCTGACGTCACGGCCGGGCCGACACCCAAAGGGGGAAGGTGGAGGGGGGGCAGCCGGCTGTCCCCGCCGCATCCCCCTGTCCCCTCACCTGCGGAGCAGCACAGCACCGCGGGGCGGCCGCCGGCCCTGCCCAAGGCGAGCAGCGTGGGGGCGAAGAACATGGCCTCGTCATCGGGGTGCGCCGTCAGCACCAAGGCGCGGGCAACAGCGGCTTCCCCCGCCGCGCTTCCCCTCGGGGCGGCCGCGAAACGGCGGCGCAGGCGACGCGTGACCCCGAGCAGCACCAGGACCGGCACCAGGACCAGCCCCAGCAGTACCAGAGACAGTCCCGGCAGCCCCCAGCCCCACCGCCCCGCTGCCATAGCGACCGGCGCCTCACGCTGCTCCTCCGCCGGACCCGCGAGGGCCCGCACGAAGGTTCCGCGGCACCAGAGGTCCCCCCCGCCTCCTCCTCCTCCTCCTCCTCCTCCTCCTCCCCGCCCATCTCTGTCCCGCCTCCGGGCGGGGCCGCACACCGGCTGCTCAGCGCCAGGGCTGGCCAGGGGAAGGGGAGCTCACGGGGCACCGGTCCAGCCAGGGAGCGGGACCCCCCAGGAGGGGTTATAATAGGGGCCAAGCCCGTTAGTGCGGGAAGCCAGGGAGAATAGGGCCAGCCAGCCCTACACGCACCACCTGACCCTACTTAAACGTTAACGAGTAATTAGCAGCAGTGACAAACTCAGGCTGTGCGGAGTGTACCTTCTGTCCCTGTACTGTGTGGCTGCAGAAGACGCGCAAGCGAAAGCTCAGAAGCAGGGCATGAGGAGCATGTCTTCAGAGGCAGTTTCTGCTGTCTGCGAATCTGTCGGCTATCCCGAGCGCAGCTACGAGGGGAAAAAAAATGTTTGGATATGTCTCAGAAGTGAAGTCAACTGCTGAAGAAGGTTGCAGAGCAAAAGAAGGCAGGAAGTAGTAAAATAAATATGCAAAAGGCAGTCATATGAGGTGGCTTGGAAGCTTTGCTGTTGAAGACAAATAGGCAACATGGAAGACAAGCACATTACCTCAGCCAGAGTGTGCCGGCTGCGCAGGTTCAAAGAGTCAAATGGGGAAAGCAATTCAGCAGAAGTCAGCATCTGAAGAACGCCTAAGTCTCTCAAGACACTTGCCTGACTTGCCCTCACACTTTTATTTGGATATCTATATCCTTAAAAGTGAATTGAGGCAGTCATTGTGTGTGTTGGGATCAAAGACTGCAACCACTTCGCCTTGGGGACACCTCATGTCACACTAACATAGCACTTAGCAGAGTGGAACTCACTCAGTTCTGCTACTAACTACAGACTTCATAAAATGCATGTTTTATAAGTAAAAGTCACCTGTTTGCCACAGGGCGAGCCCCTGCTTTATTACTCCGAGCAAGTAACTGTGCAGACGCATATCCCGCGTGTAGGGTATGACTTCTGGTACTTAGTGGAAGCTGTAACAATACGAAAACATTTTCTCAATGGGATGATTTAATCTCATCTAATGGTATTTTTTCCCATTGTAAACCTGATAAGAGAACCATTTGTGATCTCAACGCATCCAGAATTACACATTTGCAGCTAAAACATCGCAAGGATTTAAAAACCTTATTAAAAGAGCTACCTGTGCTACATTTTCTTCTCAGGGAAAGGGGAAAAAAAGCCCAAGACATTCTGGATTTTAAACCTCTCCCGTTTTTCCAAAGCCAGTCACCGCTCCGGGCCCTCAGGCCGGCTCCCTCAGCCCTGCTCCGAGGGGCCCAAAGCTCCGGAGCCCCTTTTCATCCCCTCATCCGCAGCCTGAGGGCTCGGCGGCCGCCTCCCGTTAATTGTGATTATTATTTTTATTCATGTCAATCGCTTCGCCCTTTCTTTTCGGCCCCGAGCCCCTCAGCAGAACCTCCGGCCCCTCTCTCCTCAGCGCCTCCCGCCTCATGGCGGCCGCCCCCCCTCAGATCCCCTCAGCGCTGAGGGGGGGGGGGGGGGGGAGAGCGGGAGCCTTTCCCCGCCGCCTCACCGGCCAGCGGGTCCTGGAAGGAGCATAACAACCCGCCCTCTCACCCCGGGGCCCGCCCCCCCTTCCTAGCGAGCTGCCTCCAGCCGAGCAACGCCACGCCGGCTGCGCGTCGGGAGGAAGGGGCGAGTCTCCCTCCGCCGGGAGAAAGAGCCGAGGAGCGGCTTTGCCGTTTTCTCCTTAGCTGCCAGGACCTAGCGGGCCGGGGCGGAGCGCGGCGAGCCGGGGGAGGGGAGGCAAGATGGCGGCGGCGGTGGCGCTGAGGTTGAGGTGAGAGGCTGCGAGCGCCCAGCCCCGCCGGAGCCCGCCGCCGGGCCGCCCCCGCGCCGCGCCGTCGGTAAGGGCAGGGGGCCTGGCGGGGCGGCGAGCGGGGCTGGCAGGACCCGGGGGGGGCAGCGGGGCCTCTAGCGCCTCCGCCGTGAGGAGGAGGAGGAGGAGGAGGGGGAAGAGGCGGGGGCCCCGGCCATCCCTTCCTCCTCCTCCTCCTCCTCCTCCTCCTCCTCCTCCTCCTCACCGGGGACGGGGCCCGGGGGGAGGGCGCTGGAGCCGGGGGGGTCCTGAGGGAGGAGGCGGGGGAGGTGGGCGGGTCAGGTGTGGCTTAGGGCGGGGGGTGCCCCCTGCCCCCGGTGCTTTTTATTATTATTATTTTTTATTATTATTTTTTTCCTCACTGTTTGTGCGCCCCGAGGTCCGGAGGGGCTGCGGGTGGACGTTGATGGTGCCCCCTGAGGGGAAGTTTGGGGAGAAAGTGCAGAGCATCGCCGTGTTGGGTGCCCATCCCTGTCCTATGGGTAGGAGAAGTCCGATTTAAACCAATAAACCAGTCATAATTAAAATACATCCGAATCGGCCCTTGGAAGCTTGGGCAGGGGTGCATCAGGAGATGTCCTGCTGCTGGCCCCGCGCTGGGGCTGTCAGCAGGCACCGAGTTACCCATTTGGGACCCGTAAACATCCCCAGCTTCTGCCGGCCGGGCTGCTGCAGGGCACAGCGCGGGGGCTTTCCTGCAGTCACTCTGACTCCCTGGTAAAGAAGTTTGTGTTTCTGCACTTAAAAAGCTGTCAGTAGCAAGTCAGTTGCACTTGGACGAGGTTCCAGATGGACGCGTGTGCTCTTACTGTTGGGCTCCAGTACGTAAATAACCAACTTGGTGATCTGAGCAGTCTGCTGCTGTCCAAAATACGCCTCTTCATGTTGCACATACATGGTCTTCACCAATATTCTACCTGTTTGTGACTGTAAATATTGGTGCAACGTAATAATAATAAAAAGAATAACTTCTGCAGTGAGAGGGGTGTCTAGTTTTGAGTGCCTGCTTTTGTAGCGGTATTCTGCATTATTTTTAGGTATAATAATAGAGCTACAAGCTGCTAGAGCTGAGGCAAGGCTTGTTATTTCAGGCTTTAGGATGTGAGGGAGAAATGGTGCTATTGGAAAAGAAACATTATGGTACTATGATGACTGAGGGTACAGCCTAAGTAAGGACCATGCAGATCTGTTGCAGTTCCGTGCTGGAGTTATACTCTGCTGAATGTTGTTATTCCTGATTAACTAAACAGCCTTGACATTTGGAAAGGAAGTATGTAATGCTTGATGGGGGTTTCTAGTTAGCTGAAATCTAGTGGATTGTGTTGGGGGATGAAAGACCTTCGTGCTCAAACGTTCAGGGGAAACGAGCCAACTGCAGTGACCCTTCTTGTGATAACACAGTTAATTTTTTCTTGACATTACTCTTCTACATGATAGAATATAGGCTACCTAGGAAATAAAACGTTGTGCTTTATATGTAGTTTGATTTGTCTGCGGATAATATCCTGTTCAATATAGGTTGCTAAAATACTTAAACTTGTTGCTGAAGCAGGGGGACAGGTACCATTTTGGGGATCTTTTTTTCCAAGAGTTAAAATGCACATCTGTTAGTGTATGGAGAGGATATTCCAAATGTTTGCTTCCACAAGTGTTAGTTCTCTCTAGCTTTTTAGTAAGTGTACAAACCAATTAAAGGTAACTCTCCAAATTTAAATTATATCTACAAAGTTGGGATATATTCACTGTTCTACGTTATGCTGCTGATGATTTATTCTGAATACATGTTACATGCACAGCCACTTATTTTAGTTGCTCTTCCTGGGCACACGTGTTCTGCATCATGAAAGGTCTAGAAAGCTCTCAAAAACTGAGGTAAAAGTAGTGACAGACTTGAAAGCTTCTTTTTGATTTCGTCCTCTGGTCCCCTTCCCCAGTTCTTGTGGTTCTATTACTGCATCTTCTAAGTTGCCTCATTTCTCTTACAGCATGACTGAGTGATGCTTGCATGGAGAGGAAGCTGATTGCTTCAACTACTGCTAATACTCTTCCAGTTACCTTTCTGCGTTTCTGTATCAGAACAAATATAATCTTTTTTTTTTTTTCCTCTATTATGATGTTATGATAGTGGCATTTTTTTTTTCAAAGCTCTCAGTCAAAGTTTTGGTGAAATGCTTTTTTTCTTCTTCTGTGCTTATCTGCAAAATGGTTTCGGTGAAGGTTTTCCTGTATGATCAAAAATACTGTTCAGGGTTCTTGTGTGTGTAGCTACTTAAAGTTAAGATTTTAACAATTGTTTGAGTTGGAACAGATCTGTGCCTCATGCAGGTGCAGTACAACACAGCACAATCTTGAGAACAGACTACTAACCAGACAGTGGTTTCATAATGCAAACAAACGTTTCCTGGATGCAGTCTTGAACTCTTCAAGTCATTTGTGTTCTTCAGTCAAATGTGAATCGGTGCTTCAGATGACAAGCAATTAACTGAATGTGTTACCCGGTCTCTGTACTGTAAATGTTCCAGGTAAAAATTCTGACCTGTGCAGGCTGCTCTCTGTAAATATTTACTTTAGGCTATTTCTAAATTATGCAAATAGACGGGAACGTGCTGGATATGTCCTCAGCTTGAGTTTCTCTACCCTTCAGTGAGTCTCCATCTAGTAATGATGTTTTGTGATGTTCCCTTCCTCTTCTGTACCAGTTCAGCGTTTATCCACCACCTGTTAAATGCCTACCCCAGCCCGGGCCTACTGGGGCTTGAGTTTAGCGAGCTGGGGTGCATGCAGGAAGCTCAAACTTACCTTGCAGCTAAGTTTCCTCCCAATATCCTGAGAGAGATTTCTGTGTCCTTGAATAGCTTCACATCTAAACCACTCATGTAATGCTGCCACTCCCAGACTGATTTGATACACAGTTTTCTCTTCAGGCTTAAGGAGGATGTTGGTCGATGTGGTTTTGAAGTCAGTGACATCACCTGCTCATGATTACAGAGGCTATTGCAAAATTAAGGTACTGTAGTGTATGAAGATGCGTTGCCCACCTTTGAAAAATCCTATTGTTCAAAACTCTCAGCAGTAAAAAAAAACAAAACAAAAAAACACTCAGGAATGAAATTTTTGTGCAGACATTGTCTGCACAAACTCTTGACCAGGACTTAAGAATTCTGTGCATGTGGACTGGTCTTGGGTAAAACCGAAATTACATTCATAAAGAGTGAGGGGAAGAAGGGCTATCAATGAAAAAGGACAAGATAAAGTACAAAATATGCTAAAGCTAATATAATGTCTCTTTGTCTGTCCTTCTTGTGCCATAAGTTTAGCTGTGGCTTACAGGGAAAGTACGTTTGGTCGATTCTGTTTGTAGCTGTCGTGGAGTCAGAGGCCCGCTGGTCCTGAGGAGAGCTGAAAACGGCCGCGGTGCAGCTCACGGAGTTCCTGCAGTGCAAACACCCACTGGGCAGTTCCTGGTGGGGAGATGTGGATGCTCTCCTAAAAGAATTAAAATACTGTCATGTTTCAAGGAAGGTGCCTAACAAACGGGAATATAAATCAACTCATGCAGGAAGTCTACTAGGAGACACACTTGCCTCTTTCTTCTAATGAACCTGTTGATTCCTCTCTGTTCATGCTAGAAAATTAAACCCATGTAAGTTCAAGTGCTGTTTTCTGAACTTGATGTTATTACAGTTCATCTGTGGCTTTCACCTCACTACTGGTAGTTTGGGAAAAAAAAATAGAGGAATTAGTTTAAGAATTATATATACTTGGTTATTTACCGTAGAGTTTTGTCTCAGAGTCACATTTTTCACGTACGGTTTCTGCTCATTATGCTATTTTAAATGCTTTGCTGTCAGAGAAGGGCTGTGTGAAAGGTGTGAATTCTCCCACGTAGTAAGTGTAATTTAATGATTTACCTTTCTTGGAATGTTATTCCCAAAACCGTTTCTTGTAGAAGTGGTCACTTACCCATGCCATTACAGCTGTTATTTTGTAGGTGCTGTTTCTCTGTGGTTTCAAAGAGTAAGCCCGTGTGTGTCCAAAACCCTGATTTTTTTGTTTGTTTGTTTGTTTTTTACACCCCCCCTATGGCTATTGGGGTTTCCTTACACCGTTCATAGCTTGAGATCCTCTCCATTCTTCCCAGTTTTCTGTGACTGAGAGGCTGTTGTGTAAGCTTTAATGAGGAATTATATTTTTATATGTTGGTGCGTTCTCTGTGAAGTAGAACATCTCAAACTTAATCATAAATGTCATTAAATCACAGTTGCACATAAATCAGAATAAACTTTGTTTCTAGAAGGTGATACTGCACAGGATATGCACAATCTGAATAGGCCTGAACACTCTAGTACAGTAAAATAGAATTCTTATTTTAACCTTTTTGTCTTTTTAGCTGAAACTGAGAGTTATTTTTGTATGAACTCAGTTAACTGAGGAGAGTGGTGAGGCTGGTACTTTGTCCTGTACAAAGAAGCAAAAATTGCTGTCTTGAAATAATACTTCATAGCATATAATATATATGAAGTTTGAGATCATCATAATTGTTTGTAATCATGGGTGAAACAGGAAGAATTAGGTGGATTCAAGTAAACCTCAGTGAGCTGTTAGCACTGACTGGTGAGTGAGAATGATTCGAGGAAGGTTGTCTAG